CATTTATTATGTCTCAGCAAGAGACATGTTTATTATGTCTCAGCAGAGAGACATGTTTATTATGTCTCAGCAGAGAGACACGTTTATTATGTCTCAGCAGAGAGACACGTTTATTATGTCTCAGCAGAGAGACACATTTATTATGTCTCAGCAGAGAGACAAATTTATTATGTCTCAGCAGAGAAACAAGTTTATAATGTCTCAGCAGAAAGACATGTTTATTATGGAGACACGTTTATTATGTCTCAGCAGAGACATGTTTATTATAGAGACACATTTATTATGTCTCAGCAGAGAGACACATCTATTATGTCTCAGCAGAGAGACACATTTATTATGTCTCAGCAGAGAGACACATTTATTATGTCTCAGCAGAGAGACATGTTTATTATAGAGAGATAAGTTTATTATGTCTCAGCAGAGAGACACATTTTTCTATTTTTTCTTCTTCTTCCAAACACTTTTCAATTGACTGCCATTCCTTCATTTTTTGACAGATTGACATGAAACTTAGTAGGGTTATACCTTGGTCCAACATGCTCAGCCCATATTTTTAATTTTGACCTGTTTAAGAACTTTATCTGGTCAAAGGTAAACAACACAAAAATGTATATTTGCAGCTCCTGTGCAGTCAAGATGAAAAGTGGCACAAATATAAATTTCCATGCACCCAACACATTGACATAAATAAAGTTGGATTTGATAATTTTGAGCCTTTTTTGGGGGGAGGCAGACCTCACAAAAAAGTATAATTTTGGGGGGTTTGGTTCAGTTATTTGGCCATATTTTGACCAAGTTACATGGGATTTGGTACAAAGTTATTTTTTACAGGTCCCACACACTGATAAACAAAAATGGTGGACTTGAATATTTTTAGGGGTCAAGAAGTTGCAAGAAACATAATTTTATGGTTTTTGGACAACTATATAAATATAAGTTTAAAGCAAGATTTACTTGTAAATTTGATCATTAACCAAAAGAGACTGAAAAGTTTCTGTAGTGTGTATTGGTGTATAAAAGACATTTTAATACTAGTAATAAACCACCTCATAACAACAAATTTATTTTTCTTTAATTGGACACTCAATTTTCCACTTTACTGCTTATTCATAAGTGTTTCACTAAAAACACAAGTTGTAGCTAACAGAACAAAGCTTCAAATGGTTTAAGTAATAAATTCTAATTGAACCTATTGCATGCATTTCTACAGTGTGTCTTTGATATATTAACTAGTAAAGCTGATTGTTGAAAGAAAAGTTAAGATAAAAAATAAAATATTTGGCCCTATTCATCTGTGGTCATAGTTGTTTCACAAGAAATACTTTCTTTAAATTTTCTGTGAGTGTACATCTCAGGTACAAATCTTATACATGTTGTGAAATGTGGCGTTTGTCTGAGTGTCAGTCAGTCTCCCGTTTATACCGGCTGTTTCCCGCTCTGTGTTTGAAAAGCTGCACACACTTTTGAAATGACAGGAGAACAGGCATGAATAATGTTGAAGCCAAATTTTATTTTGTAGGCAGGATATTCAACACTAAATTGTGACATAACTTAAAGAACGAAAATGTAGATTAACCATACGTTATTGTTGAGCAGCTCTTAGCATGACTGAAATACTAAGCAATTACTTTTTGTCTCTGAGTGAAACCAAGAATGCAACACAATTAACCTTTTTTAAAGTCCATGAAATAATTTAAATTGATAGATTAACTTAAATTTTCCTGTCACTGGGGATGGGTACTTTTGCTTGTGAGAAATATAACACATTATCATAGCTTTTTTAAAGAAAATTAAGAGGCCAAACTTATATATCTTGATAAAATTCAAGTAACTGCCCCTGACTACGCAACAAAACATGAGAAGGTAAAAAAATATCTATGTATATATTAAAGTGACTCAATGTTCTGTCAACTTCAAGATGAAGGCTGTCAATCGAGACATCAACATTGTGTAAATTTTAGAAAAAGTCCAACAGCGGAACTACACATTACATGCCCAAGAGAACAACAACACATCACTACAAAAAAAAATGCAAAACCAAAAGAGGAAGGTGAAAGAATCTCTTTCAAGAGTAACAAATGAATGTGGTTCTGTTACAGGCATTAATCAGAACCAAGACTATGCATTGAATATTTGCTGATTACCATCTGTCAAGGAATACAAACAGCTTACTGGAAGTAATATTGTTCAAACTAAATACATTACGTTTTCTATATAGTATTTTTCACTTTATTGTTTGACATAATTTTATGACGTTTTGAATATTAACGTAGAGCAAAAATATGATATTTCATTTTTAATTATTTGAGGAAATTATTGATTTCTATCATATCTATAATTGAAAATGTTCTCTAATTAATTTCTTAACATTTTTTGTGTGACCATTGTTGCAAGTTGGAAGATATTTCATTGTGAATATCTGTACTTAGAAACTTATAAATATGATGCCAACGAAGGTTTGAGAAGAAATAAAAACTATTTGTAGAAAGTTCACCATGATATTTAATAAATAACTATCATATTTTATACAAGCCTGAAAGAATATTTACATCATACTTACTTCACTGCATTCACTCTAACTTGCTGTGCTGCCAACTCTGTAAAAAAACTTATAAAATTTTATTAGGCTTACCAAAAATAACAATTAAAGTCTATCAAAGTAAAATATTCAAATTATACAAGTTTTTAAATAAGTTAACCCTTCCATTACGGGCTGGGTGATCTCCAGATAATTATCAAATTTTTTGTTTAAAAACTACATTTTATTTGTTATTTTCAACAGTGTATTTCTGTACAGGTTGGTTCGATATAACCAACTTCATAACCTCAATAAAAAATTGGGAAAGAAATATATATTATACATTTTTTGTTCTTGAATGACTACAATTATAACACGAAAACACAAAACTTTAGTCTAACTAGCTTAAATCTCGTAACGTTATACATTTATATATATATTTATTATTGTTACTATATTGACCTTCCAACTGTGCCTGGCTAACAATGCAGAAGTTACAATGACATGGCGCACGTGCACTCGTGTTACCGTATACAATAATGTATAACTGACCTTTAGTCTTTACAAAGAGACCTGTCTTGTTTTAGTGAACTAGTATTTTGTAAAGTACAGTCACATTTCAACTATTATACATTATTTCTATTTACAAATAAGCTTTTATACTTATTTTTCTTAAAACATAGAACAGTACATAAATTAAAGCAAACAATTATCTCTTCTAGTTACGACTATTGTTGTTGTTTGCTGCTTGTGGTAGGTTGCTAAGCCTCATGAAATTTCCCATGTGGAGGATGTAAAAATATTTTTTTTAGGTTTTATATATACATTTTAATTAACTAAAAAAAATCATAAATTATTATATCGATACCATAAAATTCCACTATAATTTATCAAGCTGCATTTGGTTCTAAAAAATATGAAATTTCGAGCTCACAAAAGACTTACCTCGTCGTTTGAAATCTTGTGTGAAAAAAATGAAATTAGCACAATAACACGTAAAAATGGCTGAGAAAACCACTAGGGGGACATTCTGAGCTTTTGATTGGTTATTCATATCATATATAGAAGCAAGTGTATATAAGGGACCGTTTCCTAAATGGAAAGAAGTGGGCAAAGGGGCAACTGTGTTTCATTCCGTACAGGAGCGATTTCTTAGAAATATAAAAGATAAGACGTTCTTATTTTATATTCTAGCTTGTCAATATCAGAAGTTTGAGTTCCTAATTGTATGAAACTGTATATTTTGTATTTTGACATCACAAACATATAATTTGAACCAGTGCTGCATTTAACATACCACGTGACACACAAAAATCAATAGTTAGCTGTGTTTTTAATATTTACTTTTAAGTTAAGAAATTAACTAATGTATAATATTAAAATTTGAATTCTAATCTGCAACTTCATACCAAACTTATTGACACAAAATAGTAGTTCAATAAAATTTTGAATGCAAGTCAACAAATGCGATGACATGGCCTTTGACACGTGACCCGTCGAGATAGGGTTAATAGACGTTTGTAATGAATACTATTAATAGAACACTGCTAGTACCATAATAAACAGTATTAAATAATACTTAAAATTAGCTGATAATAAAATATTTCTTCACCTCATCGGAACAATTATCATGTGTCTCCATTTTCTTAATTACTTCTATGTATACCCCAATTCTTTCATTGATTTGTCTGTTGCCATTGTTAGAACTTAATTCAATTCAACTCTTTTTAAAAACAAATAATTCTAATTTTGCTTTTGAGATTCGTTTTTAATTCCTGTGTTTTTAATTGAATTCTTTTCATTCTAGGAATTCTCAGATTCATATTTTCCTCCCGTTGTTTGTTGCCATTTCCCAAACTTTAATTCGCAGATTTGTATTTTCCTCCCGTTGTTTGTTGCC